CATCGATGAGAGAGAAACATCCATCAGCTACTTCCTGCACACCCGCTACTGGGGATGTGCCTAAAACCAAGGTACATGCTCTTGACCTGAATCGAACCTGTGACCCTTCACTCTTCAGGTCCATGCTCTATCCACTGAGCTAACTGGTTAGGGCCCTATCAACAAGTTTTTTAGGAATAAACTTCAACACAAACCACATATAACTTCTTTCTAGGTAGGCACCTTGATTTCCAAGCAAACACCTACCATTTGTTGATGAAATTTCTAAGAAAATATATTTGCATTTAATCAATAAAGCTCCTTAAAAAAACAAAAAAACAAAAACAGAATATAACCTCATTTTATCTATTATCCAGTTTTTATCTAAGGTCTAGTCATATCTTTAGAGGAATTTCATGAATGACAAGTAGTCCATTCATTGTCCTAAAATACAAGGGTAAGGTGAATCCATTTAAGCATGCCATCAGAAAGCAAGATACTTATTCCATTTTACTTAAACTAAAAGCAGCATTACTGCAATTAAAGACCACATTTGTATCTCATTTACTATGAGGGTTCTCGTGGAGTGTCAAGCCCTAACAGGCCATTAATACAGATGTGTAGAGGATTAGGAAGGGAGAGAGAGATTAGGGAAATAGTTGTAATTGATTTTTTTCACTTATCATATGATTTATAAGAACATAGCTCCACACCACATTTTTTTTCTTCCCTTTTAAACAATACACATGCAAAATTTCTTATCAGGTCCAGCTTTGGCTAATCAGAGAAGCCATTATTTAATTTTTTTTCCATCATGAAACATTTCATCACCATTTTTGCAATTCCTTTTTACTAAAAGAAAGCTTTGAACCCATGCATCTATTTTAATTTTTATTTACATCTTAATAACAGACTCTAGTTTACTGTTTACTATAATTATTCACTTTTATATTTATTTTCCATAGCCATATCTAATCTTTGGGGTGAAGGTAGAAAAACCTTTTCTCTCTCTAAACTCGAGTTATTTTAATTAGCCATCTCAATTACAAGTGCATACAAAGATACAATATAGATTTCAAAATAAAATACAATGTATATGGAATTCAAAATTTATGTAATTATTCTAACCTGTGCAAAGTTAATAATTTAATACAAATTTTGTGCACTTTTCAGACATTAGCTAAATGTACATAGGACATTTATAAGTAAAAATTTGGATAAGTAAGAATTATTATATGTTCCAGGATTACTCAGCATGTTTTAACAGATTAAAATATAATCCTGTCATTTAACTTTGAAGTAAATTTGGAATTCCTTGTGCAGGGGCTTATTATCAAACCAAATGCTTTATACACAGTGTGAAAAATTCAATCATAATTGTCAAACGATCAAGCTGCTACTTCTGATAAAAAAACAAAAACAAAAAAACATGATGCGATATCATCTCGTTTAATATATGCTTTCAATTTGATGTGTAGGCTAATAAAAAGTGTGAAGTTCTAGTATTTGTTTCTTACACGAGAGAAGTCTCCTAAGAGGGATGATTAAAATATCCCATCTCACTGCCTAGAAATACAGTCAACTCTATTATCTGGAGACAGATTAGCCAATTTGTCGAATGACTATAGTAAAATAGTAACAGCGTGCACTGCATTTGTAGATTTTAAAATTACAAGGCATCAATGACTATATCTCAATATGAGAGATGTCTATTTTCAACTACATAATAACTAAGACACAAAACTATGTCTACTGTACTGTCATTCATTTAACCAATATTTAATGAATATTTACTATGTGCCAAGTACTGTATTAGGCTATTCCACCTCATTAATCAGACCTAAACTTTCCTGGACAACTGTCTTTTGAGGAAGCACGAAGGGAGGGTATGTGATCTACTCTGTGAGTTGGCTGTAGTTTTGAGATGCAAAGTCTAAAGAGAAACAGACACAGCACCATGAAACAATCTCTTGTAGTTGTGAACTTCTCCCCAACCTTGCTCTGTATCCTGTTTTTCTTCCTTTGCTTCCCCAGAAACTGGCAGCACAGCTTCCCTCTTTGTCCTTTAGCCTCCAAGTGCATACCCCCCAATCCCTGACAATTCCCTAGATGTTCCTTAAATGTGTACACTCCTCCTCCACCCCCGTTGCCCCATTCTACCTAAAAGCTTTCTGTTACTACTTTAGCTGGGTCTACCATCATCTCAAAGCACAATGACTATTATGTACTGAACTACATAACTGAATAAGGCACATGAATCAGGTGTCCTTTAAGACACTGAGGTAAACAAGGGGAAGGAAATACCAAAAACAACCTCAACTCATTCCTTTTTGAGCAACCACTTCAAACATATCAGGATCTTTGGAACTATCTTTGACCCTCCCCTTTTTCCTTCATCTCACATTGCCCTGCCTCTCTATCTGCTCAGCTACATTTCTCTGAAATGCTCCTAGATCACATGCTGTCAATGACCTAGTCTCTCCCACAGTCACCCTCTAACCAGTGCTGTCCAGCAGAACTTTCCGCCATGGTAGAAATGTGCTGTATTTTTGCTGCCAGGATGTGTGGATACTGATTCACCTGAAGCATGGCAAGTGTGACCAAGAAATTAAATTTTTAATTTTATTTGAATTTTAATTAATTTAACTTTAATGATTTTTGAGAGAGAAGGAAAATGGGTAGAGAAATAGAAACATTGATGAGAGAAGCATGGAATAACTGACTTCTACTGAGGTTCAAGCTGGTAACTCGGGCATGTGTCCTGACTTGAATGGAACCAGCAACCTCTTGGTTTAAGGGTCAACACTCAATTGAGCCACACTAACCAGGCTTAAATTTAAATAGACACATTTGGCAAACAATGATTGTACTGACAGTACTTTTTTCATACTGCTATTGAAATTATCTTCCTACAAGATATCTGATAACATCATTGCCTTACAGAAATAATGTCTTGTGGACAAAAGAGGCCACATACTGACAAGTTCAGGGGAGGCCTGCATGGCTGTCTTGCAAACTCAGAGACCTAAAGTAACCCCGAAGGATGGTCTGAAATTAAACTTAAACTAAACGCAGTTATGGTGGGCAGTTACATCCTAGGCCAGTATCTTCCTTGATAAAGTCAAACTTTACCTTAACTGAGCCCATTTGTCTTTTTGCATCTATGATAACATACCCTTGAAATGTCTGGGTAACTTGTAATTGTCCTTTTTCTGGAGTCCCTGGAGCACAACCAAAAGTGGTGGGCTCCAGGACAGATGCCACAAAATTCCTTCATTATCATGTTAATTGTTCCTGCACTCATCTAAGTATGTGTCCTCTACTTCTTATCCAATCACAGGGGTTTTCCCAGCTTTGCTTAATCTATCACCAATGAATTTCATGTAATTCACCTAAGTCCCCTCTTTGATGGCAATGTATAAATATAAATGTAACCCGCCATTCTCTGAAGCATTATCTCAATTTGTTGAGGTTCTGCTTCTTGGTATATGTCAACAATTTGGCTCAAATAAACTCACAAAAATTCTTTACAGGTCTCAATGGTTTTTTTACATTAACAGTCTCCATAAAAACTTCACCATAAGGTGTGGCATTTCAGGCTTTTCACCATTTAGGAGAATTTACATCTCCCATTTAGGCTCCAAGTGTATAGGATCTCTCTGTGTACTCACACATGCCATGATAGAGCCTTTATACAAACTGCAGATTCTTGCTTAGAATGCTTTTTCCTCTCAGGGAACATCCACTCACTCTTCCAGATCCAGCTCAGATTCCTACTAGTATTCCTCTCCGAATATTTACCTGGTCTCTCTTAGCAGAGCTAGGCTCTCCCAACTCTACTGCCTTAACTTTCTTGTATCGATATATAAGCTCCATTAAAACTGTGAATCACACTTAATGGGTTAAATATGAAAAATATAACTTTCACATATGCTAAGTAAATATTAATCACAAACACTAAATGAGATGATCAGGTCAAGCACTTGGCACTCTAGAAATGTGCAGTCTTCAATACATGTGTTATGCATTACATCATCCATGCTACAGATCTGAACAGAAGACATAAGGCTAAGAAAGCAAGAAGAAGAAACTAAAAAGATGGGAGACAGGAGAGGGAAAGAGCTCACAAGGCGCTGATACTAAAGGGAAGTTTAGGTTGGGGAACTCATGTACGAAAAGTCACAAAAGTACCAAGAGATTAACTATTCAGCAAATCCATAGCTAAAGTCAAACTTATTTTTCACCTTTCCTTCCTAACTGGCAAAAGCAATAATCAAATTCCTTAGTCAGGGAGGGTAGATGTTACCAGGTCAAGAACAAGAGAAAGCTTTTCTTGTGATGTGTAACTGAGAAGAATTTGTTATAAGCAGATCAATAAAGCACTATTACTGTGGCCCATTATTTAGGAAAGAGCTTTGCTACATAAAACATTGAATCCAGCAGAAAAAAACTTACTCAATTTCCATATCCTCTAAAATTATATTTGGATAGAAACATTCCAAAATCTGAGTTGTTTATTCCCCTTTAGATGATAATTTCCCCCTTATATAAAACAATCTCACTTTTCTCTCCCTTTAATCTGTTTGCAAAAAAAAATAAATGCAAAGAAATATTTAAATAGTTAAAGGTGAAAATTTTAATGGAAATCCTAAGCAAGTCTCAACATATATACCATCGTATATAGAGGTAACTGAATTGAATAACTTCTAGGTTTAAATAATATTGTGATGTTCCATTTCATTACTTTGAGAAAGCATAGGTTTACAACATAATTTTGTTATTAAACAAAATCCTTCAGTTGGATTTGCAGATCACAGAAAATTAATATTTGGATTTAGTTCAGAGGTTGAGTAAATTAGCTTAGTTCATTCTGGGTTTGGGTTCATGGTTCAATTCAAGTTCTTGATAATGAGCACACCAAAACAAAAAGATTTAAATAATGTAATCAGGGCTGACATTCTATGATTAAGTGTGCAGGCAAATATGTGCTTAAAAAGAAGGAAAAACAAAACAAAACTCACTTTACAGAGAGAGCTAAGGTTAAATCCGAAGGTTTGAGCATTCCGGGAGCCGGCATTCATGTAGTTTCCCATTAGCAATACAAGTTCCAGCAACTTGCTAAAGCTTTTGCTCTTCTTTATCTCTTCGCAAGCAGTGCTGACAGCCATGATGTCAGGTTTGATGTTATTCACCTGCTCTTCAAACTGAAGCTTAAAGAGAATAGCACTGAGCCGCGGCCGCAGTCTCTTCACATTGCTCATCTGATTGAAAAGAAAATAGCAGATTTCCTTTAAAATGCATGCTATACTTTAGTACTGTAAGAGTGCAAGTAATCTAGGATGATATATTGGTATGACAGTACCGAAGAAGCAATATGTCCCTAAAACTGATAGCATGAAAAGAGAAAAGCCCTGTTTGTTTTTCATAGGAATTCAGAATTGTCCCTCAAAAAAAAAAAAACACAAAAAACGCAACACACATTTAGATGCTCAATGGAAAGAAAGCTTTAATTAAATTATAAAACTTAAGTAAGCAATAACGTACATATCATTTTTACAACTAACTTTTAATAAGAGGAAACAGCCCTAGATGATTTGGCTCAGTGGTTGGAGAGTCGGCCCATGGACTGAAGTGTCTCAGGTTCGATTCCAGTCAAGAGCAAATACCTTGGTTGCAGGCTTGATCCCGGCCCTCATTGGGATGAGTGAAGAAAGCATTACATCAATGTTTCGAGTGCTCTCTCTCTCTCTCCCTCTTCCACTTTCTCTAATGGAGCTCTGACCAGTTTGGCTTGGGGACTGACGGGTCCTAGGTTCAATTCCAGTTAAGGGCATGTACTTTGGTTGCAGGCACATCCCCAGTGGGGGTTGTACAAGAGACAACTGATTGATGTTTCTAACTCTCTATCCCTCTCTCTTCCTCTCTTTAAAAAATCAATAAAATATATTTTAAAAAATAAAAATAATAAAATAAAAAATAAAAGTCAATGGAAAAAATATCCTCAGGTGAGGATTAATAAAAAATAAAATAAGAATACAGAGGCAACAAATTACAAAGAATTCATATAATTAATTTTTTGATCAAAATTGAAACATGCTGGGTCAGGTTTAAAACATATTCAGAAAGGTGTAAAAGATGGTTTGCTTGTGTGTTGTTGTTTTTTCAAATAGCAATTGCTGTCCTCAGAAGCACTACTGACAAACAATTCTTGTTAAAACAGGGAGAGTAAATAGTCCCAATTTGTAATCAAATAGCTTTCTTCAGCAACACAGGAAAGTAGAATGACTCCTGACATATAATAACACAAATGAGCAGTGTTAGGGTTAGGAAACATGGGTGTAACAGGAGACAGAAGCAGTGCAAAGCCACAGGTCTGCCTGGGACTCAGGGCTACTATGTTAGAAACGTAGGGGTTTAAAAGTGTCAAAGAAACAAACAAACAAAAAATGCAAAAAGGGTAAGAGGGTTAGCAAGTTCTTGCCTTAAACTACCATGTTCTAACAACATGTGAAGGGAAGAGTCACTTACCTAAAGGCTGAAGACATTTAATCTATACATGAATTCATTGGCCAAATGTATTAGGAGTTTCAGACTTAGAACAGATTGATGAGGCAGTGATAGTATAACTCTTGCACTTCAACAACTATCATAAACATTAAGAGCAGTTTGAGGCAAGGTCAGGAAAAAAGTAATGACCAAACCTGAAAGAGTTAAAACAGGGACTAGGTTGGCCCTTCACAGATCCAAAGGAAAGGTTAAAAAACAGTGCCTCAGGAGGTGCATAGGACAGGAAGCTACCGTATTTTTCGGACCATAAGACGCTCCGGACCATAAGACGCACCAGTTTTTAGAGAAGGGAAATGAAGAAAAAAAGATTCTGAAACAAATAGTGTCCTAAAATATTTTATGTGCATTAAAACCCAACATCACAGTCATAAACACATGTAATCAACCCTGTAAAGTAAACAGCAGCATTTAGAACCATTTTAGAGCCGGGCAAGCACACAGAGACCACACAGAGCCGGGCAAGTAAAAAAACTTTTTTTTTAAAGTATATGTGTAGGCTATATTTGGTCCATAAGACGCAGGGACTTTTTCCCCCCACTTCTGGGGGGAAAAAAGTGTGTCTTATGGTCTGAAAAATACGGTATCTGCTAATCCTATCAAATAAAAGGGTAATATGCAAATTAACCATCACTTCTCACAAAGATGGCAGCACCCAGAGCCACAAGATGGAGGCACCCAGTCCTCTCAGCCTTGCCTGAGTTCCCCAGCCCTAGGAGGGTGGGGGGCGGGGGGGGGGACACTGAGAGCAGGCAGTGTGAGCAGCCTGGTGGAATCCTTGCCTCTTCGCTATGGTGATGAGGCAGGCATTCCGCACCGGGCTGCATATGGGCCTCTGGGCTGTGGGGAGCCTCTGGGCAGCCGGGGTGGAGCAGCCAGGCCTTGCAGAGAGCTCCTGGTGCACGGATTTGTGAGCAGGGCTACTAGTAATTATAAGTGATTGTTATTTAAAATAAGATATGCCATAAAAGCTTAAACTTATTAGATCCAATAAGATAATATAGACATTGTTTTAATGATGTAACATAATCCAGGACACTCATCTAAAAAAAACCAAAAAAAACCTGAGCAATTAAAGAGGTAGCTCTCAGTAGATAACTCTGCAAATACCGGTATATCTTCAAATGGACCAAATCTTTACAATGAGTGAAAAGTTTTATAGTAAATAATATAAATGTCTAATTTATAATATACTTTTCCCAGGCAATTGCCATGTGAAATATTTGTTTATATGTATATAGGCAATATTCCAAGAATTCAACTAATATAGTTAATAATAAGTCCCTTCTACAAAGCATTTAAAAAGGAATGTCTTAAAATTTCTTGACTTCAAAGAATGTCTTCAAATTCCTGTCTAGAGAAAATAATATTTTTCCTTAGAAGAAAGCAAAAAACAGTAAGCTCAAAAAAAGCATTTTTTAAAGTAAAAAGAAACATTACCAATCACGGTTTTATAGAATAAACTTAAGTCATATAAAATTTTAGAAAGACAATTTTAGAAGTCCTATTAGCATAATGTTTGGATATTGACTGTCTAGCACACAAAGAAGACTTAAGCAATTATTATTTCTCATAAAGTCATTTCATGCTCTCAAATATACTTCCTTGAAATTTTTATTTTTACTTAAAGATTGTAAATAGTAGATATTTATATTATAACAGGGGCCCAGTGCACAAAATTCGTGCACTGGGGAGGGGTGCCTCAACCCAGCCTGACACCTCTTACATACTGGGAACCCTCAGGGGATGTCCTACTGACGGCTTAGGCCTGCTTCTCAGTGGGAGTGGACCTAAGCCACAGTCTGGCCACCCTTTGCGGGAGGCAACCATGCTGATCAGCGGAAGGTGTCAGCTCCATCACCCTGCAGCCATTGCCAGCCACCGCAGCTGCCAAGGCATTTTCATCAACAGGGACTCTAGTCCCGTCACCATGAAAAAATGATAACTTTCTTTAAGCATTTTCAAGATGTGTCTTTCATAGGATATTATATTTCTTTATTTTCCTTTTTATCCTCACCCAAGGATATGTTTCCATTGATTTTATCCCCTTCCCTCAAATTGCAGGCTTGGCCCCTTCCCAAACCTAAAGCCTCAACCCCAGGCTTTAAGCTTGGGAAAGGGATTCTCCCCAGGCACCTCCGATTGCAGGCTCAGGCCCTTCCCAAGCTTACAGCCTCCATGTCAGGCTTTAGGCTTGGGAAGGGGTTCCCCACCCCTGGTCCCTCTGATTGCAGGCTTGGCCCTTTCCCAAGTCTAAAGCCTTCGCCCAATGAGAGGCTTCGAGTGACCTGGGTGCCAAGGAGGTTCCCGGGACCCAAGTATGTTTGCAAATTAACTGCCATCTTTGTTGAGTTAATTTGCCGACTCCTCTGAATGGCTGTGGGCGTAATGGAGGTAAGTCCATTTACACGTTTCTATATTATTAGTTAAGATTGGAGCAATTGTACATAATACTTCACTATATTTAGTATATTCTTTACATAACAAGATGTGCAAAAGAAAACTCATATGAGTACATACAAGTATGGACTTCCAAGGTGGACACTGAGTCCACAGCATCTGCTTTCAGTCTGTGCCCTTACTCATGATCAAAACTTAAGTATTTAGCACATTGCAACAAGCATGAGAAGGAATTCTCCAGTATCTCATGCAAACCTTTGGTATTACAAAATACATTAATATTAACCTATATTAGTGTACTACTTTGTGCACAAAGAGAAAAAAAAGACTGCTTAAATGGCTATATGATACAGCCCAAAATATGTTAAAGCTTTCCTGCTGACAAGCTAACCATATGCAGCCAGGATAAAGTAATTAATTTTCCTAGAAAAAATATAACCTAGATTTTTATGAGTAATGAGTCTACCTGGCACTAGGGACAGGTACCTTGAAAAAATAGAGGAAGTCTATGATGTAATGCAGAACAATGTGCTATGTGTTCATGAAAAACCCTGACAAAATGAAGTCAGGAAAGGTAACCAAACAACAGGTCTTTGACCGAAAGCCTCGTAAATTAGATGACCTTTCAATATTTCTCTTTCTTCCAAATTTAGAAAAGTTAGTGTTTGACTGATATGAAATAAATGTATTTCAAAAAATGAAATTACTGAGCTGGGAAGGAATGTGAGAGGTCACCTGGTGCTCCTGCCTGTCTTTAGTCCACTATTTAGCCTACTGAAACCCATAGGCCAAATGCTTGCCCCTATTGTTTAAAATAAACTCAACAAAAGTTAATGTTCTAAGATCTAAATCTTGAGATCTATGAAAATAATAGCAGGGCCTTTTCTTATTAATCAAAACAGAGTTTGTTTCTTTAGATGAAATTAAAAAAAAAAAATTAAAAATTGGGAAACACTTTTTTAAAAACCCTGCGGAATGTTTCATCATCACTTTCACGTATTCTATGAACACTGGGGGTTTGCATTTTGTTTACTTGCTAAGGAAACAAAAACTGTGTTTTGACTGACAGAAACTAAGCTGAATGCAAAAGTGGAGAGCTATCCTATATAATAAATGGGTAATATGCAAATTGACCACCACTCCACCATACAAGATGTCCACCCCATGTGGTCAAAGACGGCCGGCAGGGGAGGGCAGTTGTGGGCGATCAGGCCAGCAGGGGAGGGCAGTAGGGAGGGTTCAAGCCTGCCAAGGGAAGGTAGTTGGGGGTTATCATGCCTGCAGGGGAGGGCAGTTA